TGAAATGAGGGGCCAGGGCTGAGCACCCCCCGAAACGAGGGGGTCAGGGCTTTGCGGGGTGTCAGGGAGCATGTGCCGGTTTAAAGCCTTTCAGTGCAGGGGGATCCCAGCGAAAAGATGGAGGGGGGGGCACAAGGGATTTCCAAATATGTCTCAAAGAGGAAGAATTGGGGTGTAGGGATTTCCTGAATGGGGAAAGGCTGGAAGAATTGGGATGCAGGGGGTGGATGGAGGCTGGGATCTGCAGGAGGGGGTCAGGGATGGACTAATTACCCTCCCTGGGTCCTTTAGTGATGGCGACGCTGATGGTCTTGCCCGTGCCGTTTTCTAGGGCTGTGCACACCGCAGCCCCATCCCACCACTCGGCCGAGACCCAGGTGATGCTCCAGGCGCTGAGGACGCCATCCTGGTCCACGGTGGCTGCTGTCACCGGTGTCACCTCCCCACCGGGCTGCCAGCGCACGGTGTCCCAGCCCGGAGGGAGGTCATGGAGGTGGCAGAGCAGGGGGATGCTGGCCAGGGGCTGCCTGGGCTCCTCCGCATCAACAGGCACCAGGATGGAGAGCTTGGGCTCAGAGGCATCTGAAGAAGAAAACAGGAGTGCCATAAACCTCCCCAGGGCTGTCCCCAGCCGCCGGGTGACCTGCTGGACACTCACTGGTGACGACAAGCCTGGTCCCATCCCCAAAGAGGGTGTAGAAGTTGGAGAAGCTGCAGTAATAAACCCCGGAATCCTCCCTCTGCACGGAGCTGATGGTGAAGGAAAAACTCCCCCGTGTTTCACTCCTCCCAGAGTATTTTCCCCCTGGAGAGGGGTAGTTCAAGTTCCGGTAAATCCAGTACAAACTGCCGTCCGGCTTCTCCTTGTACCAGTTCACGTACTGGCTGTGGGCCGAGATGCGACAGCTCAGCTCCGCCATCTCTCCAGGGAGCACCCAGAGCTGCCTGGGACTTTGCTGGACGTTTCTCCCCTCTGCTGAGGTGCGTCCTGCAGGAGAGGAGCAGCTTTGAGGTGGATTTTCTGCACTTCAGGCTTTCTAACAGATTGCATTAAAAATGATCTGGGGCAAAAAAAAACCTAAAAAACCCCTACCCCGCTTCAGCAAATCCCGCCCGAGTTGGGGTATTTCTGGAGCGGGCACGTACCTGGCAGGAGGAGCAGGAGGGTCCTCAGGAGCCCGTAGGACATGCTGGCCAAAACCCTTTTGCAGGGGAGATTTTCTCTCTGTCTGTCTGGGGAGATTTTCTCTCCCTCCCAGGCTGGTGGGGGCTCTGAGGGACGAGCCTCCCCTCCAGCAGAGGGGATTGGCAACTGCACGCCCTGGGCGTGCTCAGACGCTCAGAGGAGGCACCCCAGGAGCTGGCCCTGGCCCAGCCAGGATGGGGGGGTCCCCCACATGTCTGTCCCCCGTCCCGTATCCCCCACACACTTGGGGACGGTGCAGCCTCGGCCGCCTCCGTGGGTGGCGGAAATTGGGTGGAAACTGTTGTCTGCTGACAGGACCCTTTTGGGCTGGGTTTGGTGCAGGGTGATGCTGGGGGGGGCAGGCTGAGGGTCCCAGGGACCAGCACATCCTCCAGCCTGGGGGTTTATTTGGGGTTTGGGAGTCCGGGGGGGCAGGAGGGGGGGAATTTGGGGAGGGAATGGTGGAGACAATTTGGGGAGGGAACCACGTGCCCTGGTCTCGCTTGCAAAATTGAATTTTAGCTCCAGCTCTGTGTTGCAATGGGGCTTTTCATCGCCCTGCCTGTCTCTCCAAGGAGCCCCAGGCTTTGTCGTCCCCTGGTTTTCTGCTCTCCGAGGCAAATGTTTTGCTCACTGGGGCTGGATTTCCCCCAGCTGCCATGTGGGAGCCGCCGGGAATTGCCCCCGGAGCACGGCATCGGCCGACAAGAGGAGTGCATGTAATTCATGCAATCTATAATATGTATCTTCTGCCTTTCAGCAGCAGCTGGAGGCTTTGCTCGAGCTGGAGATGGCTGCAGTCGGCCTCACTGCTGCGTTTTGTCACTTCCACACGGTTTATTGACACCAACCACCTTCCCTCCCACCCCCAGCAGTGGGGGTTTGTGATGTTTTTTGGCACCGGTTTGGCCGAGGGCTTGGTGTGCCGAACTGCAGCAGGAAAGGCAGTGGCAGGCCTGGGGGCTGGGAATGGCTTTGCAGTTTTTAGTCCCTTTGAAGGACCTTTTTCTGGGGGGGTGGGGGAGCAGCTGGGGGGTGGCAGGGGGAGACTCTCCATCAGATGCTGTTGGGTACTGCCCAAAGTCCAGATGGGATTTCTGTGATTTCAGCATGTTTGGGACCCAGCCGGGGTCAGGAGCATGGACCCAGCCCCAGTCTGCTCCTGGCTGAGACCATCTCCATCCCCTAGCATCCCCAAAATGCTTAAACCCCCGCCAAGTTCCCCACTCCCAGCCTGGTCCCAGGCACCACCCAGCTCAGGAGCTGCAGCATCTCATGTGGGTTTTTCATCCAGAAATTATTTTCTCTCTGTTTTGGAGGTTTCAGAGGGGGGTTCAGCATGCCTTTGCCTCAGAGCGTCACCCGGACGGGTTTATTCCCCCTGAATGCTCCAAAAACCCCCAGGTTTTGCTCAGAGGCTTGGAAACCAGGGTGGGGGCAAGGGTGGCTGGCACGCTCCTCCTGCCAGGGATGCTCTGGGATGCGGCGCATGGCTGAGCGGATGTTGCGTCCCCGATGACGAAGCCAGCAGGGTGAGGGGAGGGAGCCACTGCCCTGGGCCCCCGCGGTTTTGGCAGCAGTGGCAGCTCTGCAAAGGGCTCGGCCCCAGGGAGGAGCTGGCCCCTCCATTGCGGTGCCAGCCTCTGATGGCAGCCGGGGGCTCACTGTCCCCCGTGGGGCTGCTGTGGCTCTGCCTGGGTGGATGATGGCGGCAGGGGGGCTGAGATTGGTGGAGGGTGGCCAGGCCCTGGTTTGAGGAGATTTCTGGGCTTTTTGGAGCAACTGGCTGCTGGGGGGGTGGGAGGGTGGTGGTGTTACAGTGGGGCTGGAGGGCAGAATGAGCCCTCGGTTGGTGCCCGCAGCCCCGGCAGTGCTGCTGAGGCTGCACCAGCCCCAGTCCATCCTGGTTGTGGAGCCTGGAGCATCAGTGGAGATTGGTTGCAAGTTTGACGAGGACCCGGAGACAAAATTTGCTCTGTCCTGGTACTGGCGCAGCAAGGATGGTCCTGACCTGCTCCTGGATGGTGAGAGTGGGATGAAGGGGAGGTTCTCCTGCACGTACGGGAGGAACAATCTCACCCTGCACATTGCCAGTGCTCAGCCTGACGACACCAGCCTCTACCTGTGTGCCTGCCTCCACATTAATTACTGGGTTTTTGGCAGCGGCACCACGCTGCTGGTGGGAGGTAGGACCGCAGCTTCACCCCGATGGCCCCCATGTGACCCCCATGTCCCCTATCCCCTGCTGTCCCCCACTGTCCTGTCCTGTCAGCCTCCAGCATCCTCCTCTGTCCCCCTCCATCTCCTGTGTCCCCATCCACCACCTCTTGTCCCTCTGCACCCCTCTCCATTGCCGTCATCCCTGTCCATCCCTTTCCATCACCTTCATCCCCCTCCATCCCTCTCCATCGCCCTTGATCCCCTCCATCCCTTTCCATCCCCTCCACCGCCTTCATTCCCCTCCATCTCCTGTGTCCCCCTCCATCACCATCCACCACCCCTTGTCCCTCTGCACCCCTGTCCATCCCTCTCCATCCCTCCTCAATCCCTTCCATCCCCTCCATATCTCTCCATCCCCTCCATCCCTCTACATCACCTTCATCCCTCTCTGTCCCTCTCCATCTCCTGCATCCCCATCCATCCCCATCCACCACCCCTTGTCCCTCTCCATCCATCTCCATCCCCTTCTTCCCCCTCTATCCCCTCTCCATCCCCTTCCATCCCCTCCACCCCCCTCCATCCCGGGTCCGTGCCTGCATCAGACCCTGCTGCAGCCCCCTCTCCTTGTTGCAGACAGCTGGAGGGCTGGGAGCTGGGTGCGGGTGCTGGCGCCCCGTGGTGCCCCCCAGGCCCCCCCCAGCCTGGTCTGTGCCGTGGGTGCTACCACCGGCCCTGTCCTTGTCTCCTGGCCGGGGGGGCCCAGGGGGGTGCTGGGGCTGGGGGGCGGCACGGGGCCGCTCGTCAGCCCCATGGGCATGGCCGGGGGGCCCGGGGGGCTCTGCGAGGTGAACTTCAACGCCTCCAGGCCCCCTGTCCGCAGGAGCGTGGAGCTGCACGGGGCCACAGGTGAGTACAGGGGAACCCCCGCTGAGCTGGTCACCCCTGGGGAAACTGAGGCAGTGGGGATGGCTTGGCCCCAGGGTGGGGGGATGGTGGAGGCCGTTGGGGGTCTGGGGGAGTGACGACAAATGGTGGGACGAGCCAGCCCCTCTCCCCCAGGCAGCTGCATGATCCCCGGCACCTGGGTCCTGGCCGGGGCTGGGGTGCTGCTGCTGCTCAGCCTCTGCCTCAGTATCCGCCACCTCCGCCGCCCCACGCTGATGGGTAAGGAGCCCGGCACGGGCAGGGGGTGGCCTGCCACCATGTCCCCCGCTGTTCCCCAGTGTCCTGTCCATCTCACTGTGACCCCTCCACCCCCATGCCCTTCCATCCCCGACCCCCCTCCATCATCCCTCATCCTGCCCCATCCCCCTCGGTCCCCCTGGGTCCCCTCCATCCCCATGCTGGGTACACCTCTCCCTGCTCTGTCCCCTCCAGGCCACCAGCCCAGCACCCCGCTGCCACCAGTGTCACGGGAGGATGAGGTGAGGCCGTGCAGCCCCCCGGCTGCCCCCCTGGCCGGGCTGGGGCATCTGGGCTGGCGGGGAGGCAGCGTCCCTCTGTCCCTCTGCTCAGGGACAGCAGGTGACAGGGGACGGTCGCAGCCCTGCCGGTGCCAGATGGGGGAACTGGGGGTGCGGGGGAGGCATCGTCCCCCACAGGGAGGGCTGACGTACGCCCAGCTGAGCTTCGCCGCCCCGGCAGGGCCCACGCCATGACCCGCAGCCGGACGTGGTGACGACCCCAAGCCCAGAGCTTGTCCATCTGTGCCTGAAGCCCCCGGCATCACCCTGCGAGCCCCCCCCCCGCACCCCCGCTTTGCCGAAGAGAAGGAAATAAAGAGCTTCGGGCTTTGGCAGCCTCCTGGGGCGATGGCACCGCGTGCCCAGCGGGTCCCCCAGCCCAGGGTCTGTGCCCAGGTCCCGGGGGTCTCCGGGGGGTCGCACAGGCCTCGCCCACCCTCTGGCTTGGAGGGCTTTGTGGGGTGCAGAGGGCCCCCCCGTTCCCCCCTTCTGCCTCCGGGAGGATCCCCGGGGCTGGTCCTCCCCCCCCCCGCAACTCCTGCGGCGCGGCCTCCCGCCAGCAAGGGGGCGCTGTCCCCGGTCCCCCGAGGACTACAGCTCCCGGCGT